CTTCGAACAGTACAGAAATTCAATTTGAAATTAATTTATTTTAATTAGTAAAAGAAACAAATTTCTCCACGCTTTCTGGTAAACTAAAAGCTAAATTACTCAATTTTCAGGTTAAAAGGGAACTAGAAACTAAAAACGATTACAGCCTAGATGGTTTTGGAGATTACGTATATATGGCACCTGTGGTAATAAATACTTATATATTTATTTGCCGTTTGAATTTGGTTTATTAGCGCGTCAGTTTCTCCGGGCAACAAAATGCAAAACCAGCTCATTTGCATTAAGTTCAGATCTCGCAGTTTTTGTTTGATTTTAATCTCCATCATTAATGGCGTTCTGAAGTGAAATATCAAATCTTCGAGTGGTTTGAAGGGTAGGAGGAGGAGGGTACGAGCCTCAAATACATTGTCATGAGACAAATTTGAAAATTTTCCAGTTCCTAACCCAGATTTTTAGATTTCGCATAAAGATTAATCATTTGTCCACTTGCTACAATTCGGGCTATTTTCGAGTGTTTCTACATCTCAGAAGGAAAGAACCCATGGGAACTGGGAAAGGCAGGGTGGTTCCCTGGTGTTTGATCTTTTCGATTTATGATTAAACCGCTGAGTCCTCATGTGCTGCAGATGGCCAAAAAATGAAGTTATGAAGCCCTCAGGTAGTTCCATGGTTATCCGCTGAAGTCGACCACAACATTAGAAACAGAAGAAATTACAAGCGCCTGGATTCAGAGTTATCAAATTCTTCGGCAATTCGGACCTTTTGTTCGCAATTTCATAAGCAAGCTGCTCAGTTTATGTTCTTTTCGAGCAATGACTGAAAATTAAATTTTTTTAGACTTCAGGAGCGTTCAGCCTCGTAAGCGAACGTTATGGGTCCAGTGACAATTTAAGTCAAACAAGTTGCTTGTAACATCTATTCACATCTGAGCAATAAATAAATCTATTCATATTTCACACATTCTCGCTATGGCTAGCTGAACGAGCTGCATTTCGTTAATTAGCAGGCTGCGTTGTTTAACACTTACGTTAGCAGGATCAGCTTTTTTATGCGTATTTGCACATATGTAAATTGCAAAACCGCGCATTGACAAAAAACTGCCTATGTGTGTGTGTGTGTGTGTGTGTGTGTGTGTGTGTGTGTGTCCGCACTTTTTGTCGCTCATTCTCGCCATGGCTAGTTGAACGGACTTTCAACCCGAGAACCAGAAAAGCTAGAAAGCTGAAACTTTGAGAGTATGTACTCAGCCCATGCGCGACCCTCCTGTTTTAATATTATCGTCCGCCCACGCTTGGGTGCCGCGTACGGGCCTTAAAAAAATGCAAAAAAGCGATCTAGGGAATCAGACCAAGGTAAGGAACTGCAGATTTGCAGGGATATTCCCTGTGCATGCATGAGCTAAAGATTTCAAATTCAGTCTTTAAGTATGCGTGGTACTCGAGTAAGGATATACGAAAGTTTTGGCGGGAAAATTACTAACTCGGGAACCAGAAAAGCTAGAAATTCCCTGTCCAAATACAACTTAAATATTTCTAATTCAGCCTTCAAGTGTGCGTGGTTCTCACATATGGGCACTAAAATTTTTGGCGGGAAAACTGCTTAATGAACAGCTAGGTCACTTTCAAAGAAAG